AAGAAACATTCATACTCATTGGAGTTCAATACATCAACAGTATTGCAAAATTCTTCTTAATTAATTTAGTAAAAAGTTTGCTTTATTCAACACTTAGAAATGCTTTAGCCACATATAGTCAAACCAGGGATGGACGCAGACTCGCAAGACTGAAGGGGCACAAACATAACCTTTACAAAGTGCCAAAAAAATGATATTTATTATCTGCATGTTCTTATATTTATATCACTAATAATTAAACAAATTCAAATCTCATTAAATATATTTTTTTCAAATACCAAATTGTTTTTCTTTTGCACTGGATATTCTTACAACGTCAGCATTCGCATACTTTTTTTTATAATAAAGATAAATATTTATTACTTAAAAAATCAATGAAAAACACAATTTAGTAGCTAATTTAGACTTATAATTATAATTTTAAGAACACCTAAATCCAATATGTATCAAAATCAATGTTGATTTTTGTGGAAAATCCATTTAACTCATTTATATATGTTGCCTACAACATAATATAAATACCAAATGCAAACAACTTAAATTTTTTTTAAAAAAAATCTCTTGTAATTATTTTACAATATAATTATATATGCAATATTTTTTTTAAATTGCACAGGGGCCCGTGCCCCTACGGGCGCCTGCCTAGGTCCGCCCCTGAGTCAATTTTCATAATTGATCATTATATATAAGGTACTTCTACAAACATTTTACAAATATCTCTGTGAAATAGTCATTGAAATTCTTGAATTTTATAATCATTATATAAACTACTACATTACTCTCTCTCTCTCTCTCTCTCTCTCTCTCTCTCTCTCTCTCTCTCTATATATATATATATATATATATATATATCGACAAATTGGTACATATCCTATGAGGTAGGAACTAATTTCATTTATAAATAAAAGTTGATCTTCCAAAATCATGTACTTCTCCGAAAAGACGCTAAACTATTTTTAATATCATCACACATTACATGAAAGTACATACTCTAAAGTAATTGAGCATATTATCGAGCACAATACACAATTAAGATTGTAAATGTTCAAATTAAAAAGTGACAGCTTATTCAAACATTTAAAAATATTTTGATCAGAATCGAATATTCCCTTTTTTGTGTTATTTATTTGGAAGACAAACAAACTACATAACCTATTATTTGCAAATCACCATTTTAGTTGTCACAACGATTTTAGAGTTATTTGTCTTAATACCTTTCACAATCGATCGAATGTGTAATATTGAGAAGCGTAACATTTGTCAAAATATTTCACAGGAGAAGAATATGAATTCTATTATATTATGATACTCTTAGTCATATGTGAACTTTACTATTATGACGTCATTATTAAAGTTTGTGGTGCATATTATGATAATATGGAATCATTATTTATGAGAACCAATTTCTTATAGATAACATATATTTAAATGCTAGCTACAAAAAAAAGTAGTATATATAAAAGATTTTTGTTTTTTTATATTGGTACTCATACTTTTCTAAATAAATTCAGACTTTTATTTTTCCTCTTTGCATTAATATTCTATTTATATGCATTCTGGTTGTTTGATAGTAATAATATATTTGAAAAAAGTGTATTTTTATATTGTTTATAAGATTAAAAAGTTTTAGATTTTTTTACATTGTTTGATAAAATATTAAGTAACTAACTCATTTTTATATTCAAAAAAAGTATTTTACAACCATTATGTATTCCATTTCAAGCAGTAATTTAATAATAATTTAACATACAACTCATTAATTATATACCACATATTTATCTATTGTTATTTTATGATTGAGTTAACATGTTTCCCTAATTTATTTTATAAGATACTTTTAGGCCTATTTATTATTTTAAATTGGTTCGATAAAAATAATTATATTATTTTTATTTTATTTACAATACATTGATCAAATAAACACATGATGAGAAAGAAATGATGTGATATATTACATTAAAAAGAATAACAAATAAAATATTATAAGTATTTCAAAATAAAAAAAAAGTAATGCTAAAATATAAAAAGAATTCAGACTAACATATTGATTTCTAATACAAATATATATATATATATTTTATAAATGTGCATCGTAAGTATGTTTTACATTTATCATTTGGTAGCTTCAATGGATATAAAACATTTATTAATTTTATTATTCATATTTTTTTTTTTTTACTTTTGGATAGAATATCAACTATAAGCTTTTTCATTGTGCAGTCTTATCTTTTTTTTTTTAATTTTTACGTAGAACATCATTCTTATCTCTTGTTTATTTATTCTAATACTAATAAAATAATAACGGACTTTTTTCAACCTAGATGTATCTTATTTTTTTCAAAAAAATAAAAATAAGAATAATAAAAATAAGAATATTAATTATCATATATTAAATCATAATTACATTGAATGTGTTATATTTTGTATCATTATCGATAATTTTCAGAATAGTTAACTGTACACAATATTATATATAGTATATCGACAGAATTTATTGCTAAAATTTAATTAATTTTCAAGGTATATAGGCATATCATGATTCTCCAGATATTTTTAATTAATTTATAGATAATCATATGATCTAAGTTAAATTATGTTGCTCAAGTGGTATCCCATTCGACATGAAAATAAATAGCATGGGTTTTAATATTATACAATTTCATAAAATTATTCTAATCATATTTTAAGAAAGAAGTTGAGTATATTAGAAGTTTAGGCTGCAAAGCAAGAATTCAATTGTTCTCATACTACTACACAATTATTATTTTTTATATGTTATTTTGAAAAACAAAAAATGTTTCTATACTTTATCGGCATTATGAGGACAAACATTATCGATTTTAATTTTTTTTTTTTTTACTTATAGTTGTTAATAATAGATGATTAATGGTGTTGTATGATATGATTTATTGATAAAAATTCATTAACTTCAGTGTATATAGACATATCATGATTCTCTAGATATATTAATTAATTTGTAGACGATCGTATGATCAAAATTAAATCAGTTGCTCAAGTAGCATCTCATTCGATAGGAAAACAATTGGAATGACTTTTAGTATTAGAAAATTTTATAAAATTATTCTAATCTTATTTAAATAAATAAATTGAGTAGATTAGAAGTTTGAGTTGCAAAACAATTATTCAACAATGTATCTCTCATAGTGTTACACAATTTTTTGTTTCTCATAGCTTTTTTTTTTAAAAAAAATAAATAAATCTATAGTTTATGGTCGTTATGAGAATAAGTAATATCGATTATCGACTTCATATTTGTACTTATAGTTACTAATAAACTTATAAAATTAAATAAGCATTGTTAAAAAATTTATCTTATATACTTACGGTTAAAACTCTTAAAATTATTGAAAAAATCATAAAAGTATTTACCGATCTTAAAATAATGTCAATAAATAAAATATTTAATATACACAAATTTGAATTGACATTGCACAAAAAATCCAACCCATTAAAATGCAATCATAAAAAAAAATTGAATGGGGCAATTCTGAAATCCATTCACCGCAACTCTCCACAATTTGAAGGGCGCATGCTTTGGTTTGATTTGCCATAGATTTTGTGCGGATAGCTACGCCGCCCGAACCTTGGTTAGGTATTTAAATTAATATTAGTTAATCTATCAAATACATGTATTTTAAAATTATGAAACTGCCATTATAAATATGGCATAATAAGGTTATTTTAGGCAATTAATATTTTTACAGATTCATTGGCACTTTTATAATAGTATAGATAAAAAATAAATAACAACAATACAATCTAATTGAATACGACACTGATTTTTATTCATTTATCTTATTAATTTTTATTCATTTACCTTGAGTAAACCACAAATTATTTAAAACTTGCATTGTTTCGTACAAGAATATCCGAATTTTTTCAACATTTATAAACAAAATTTCAATTTACATGGTTTTTTTTAAAACACTACATAACAACATTTTAATTTGATTAAATCGTTAATTACACAATTTGTATGATATTATTACGATGATAACAATACTTCCCAATAAAACTTGTCGGCTACAATGAAACAAAATGATACTATGTCTTATATATGTGCTATTCTAGGGACAAAAATCTAATTTTGGTCCGCTAATTTGTCCATTGTCCACTTTTGGTACACTAACTTGTCCCTCATAAAAAATGGTCCATTATGTTACACTTTTCATCAGTTTTAGTACACTAATCCCATGGCCCGAGATTACGAGATGCCAAATCTAATTTTTATCCTACCACGTCAACATCTTATCCCTCCACGTAGTTCCAATCCTGGCCCACGTCAGCTCGTAATCCCGCCAACTGGAGTAGTGTACTAAAACTGATGAAAAATGTAACATAATGGACTATATTTGATGAGGGACAAGTTAGCGGACCAAAAGTGGACAATGAACAAGTTAGCGGACCAAAATTGAATTTTTGCCCTTTCTAGGGCAAAGCATATTTTCCATTCTCTCTTTGCAAGCTTGGATGATCACAAGTGACAGTATTCATTGCTCTTGGGACTAGAAGTAGGGGATCTTTTTGTCTTCATTCACCCTTAACACATTCTTTTTACAACACCCTTAACACATTCACATGCTCCATATGTCCAATATATCTTGTTTGTTGATTCGTGTGCATGGCTACCTAGACTAGTTTTAACAAGTAATTTTTTTTTGGTATAGGGACCTTTCGGTTTCCGGATCCACAGGGGAACCGACTAATTCGGAATCGAGAAGGGTATGCTTAGATAGTTGTATGCCTTCTTAATTGTTACCAAAATTATAATTATATCATTTAGTTAATATTAACAAATAAAATAATCCAATATAATAAATTTGGTTGTTCTACCAAATTACTCCTTGCAGTCTTATTTAAATACTAGTGAAAAAACATGAAAAAAAAAAAAAGAAACTATCATCTGGTTTGAAATTTGATAGACATATCAGCCTAAGCTTGCTATAGCTTGCACAGATATCTCTACTTCTATAATACAGCAGTCGTTCACGACAAAGCCTTCTTTAGGATCATTCACCTTAGCAAGCTCAATAAATGAAGGCCATCCCCAGTCGAGCTTTCCAGCTGAAAACCAACGATAATCTACAACAAAGATTGAGATTATTTATCCAGAAACCGCGTGAGAATAAACAAAGGATTCACGGAAGCGAATGATCATGATGAGAGATTTAATTAGGAAATTTCAAGAGCTTATGATGACTCACAAGCAAAACTCCTCTGTTTATAACTGCTAAGTTGATTCTTCATGCAGATTTTAACGAGCGCGTGCAATCGTTCATTGTTATTATTTCTTGGAATATACCGTAAGTAGATAGATAGGTAGCGTCCGCTAGCTTCTCCATGTCCACTTCTATACAAGTTAATTTGCCTGCACAAAAATAATCTTATCAGCTAAAATAATACACAAGTGAAAAGAAGATTAGTAACAAACATACCATATACGGCCTCCGAAAGAGAACTCTGGCGAATCCCATTTACTCTCCAATTTAGAAAAGTTTGTAATCGTCCATTCTTTCTTGTAGGGAGTAGCAAAAATATTCTTAAAAGCATACAGAGAATCAATGACTGCTTTGTTTTCGTTTACAAAAACTTCAGCACCAAACACACAATTGCCGTCTTGGCTGAGGTATCCATTGTGAGGATTGTTAAGTTCTTTCTTGGAAATGAACTTAGAGAAGCCCCATTCTGTCTTTGTTGCAAGAAAACGCCGACTTCTTCCTGAAAAAATTAAAAAACTATATACTTTAAGGAAAAAAAATAACTCATATACTACGTACTCCAACCACCACAAATTAATTAATGCATGTGAGGACTAGGAAATTAATTTATTTACCTAGTGAATAGCTATATGTTCCGATAATCTGATTAAACAGGCATATCGTGAAGACTGCATTCACCTCCCAGGCCGCAGGCATGCTGCGGACATTCTGAATGGCTAAGTCTACCGAAACGTAGCCTTCGTCTCTTTCCTTTCCACTTGGGTAAATTATAAGCTTCCTGCACAAGTCAATCACACAAGTCTTGTCGTAAAATTTTTTAAAAATAAATATTTTCTTCCAAAGTCAATTTCTAGTTGTGTGACGACGTACCACTTGTATCCCCCGGACTCAAATTCGGTGGTCTCGAATTTCTTGATCCCATGCTTCTCAAGCAAGGAAAAAGATTGAATTTTGATCAACAAATGAGCGGGCGACGCCTCTCTCGTTTCCATTATGGCTACTGTAAGCAAAGCAACACAAACTAAATAAAACTTCAAACCAAAACAGCATATATAATACATAATACAGTCCAAAATCAGTATAAATAAACAGAGAGAGTGTAGGGACTAATCAATATAAGATTAATACAAATAAAAAGGTTAACGTTCAAATTGCTTACCATCCGTCGCTTTTGGTTCCTTTCTGTTTGTTCCTTTAAAGAAACAAGAAGTAATAAAAGGTTTCATCTCATATATGCCGATGAATTGATTGCCACTTCAGATTCTCTATATAATAAACCTAGTTTATATAGAGAAGATGATTAATTAAACCTAGTTTATAACAAACAGGATCTCTCGTTTATGTCGTATCTATCTTTAATTTTATATCATAAATATATAATAAATATATTATGTTTGTTATTATTATATATTTTTTTATTATATTATTACTATTTGTAAATGAAAGATTGGTTTTGTTAAAATATATACAGACAAAAGAATTCTTCAAGATAGTTATCACTTAATTATCGCTTTGGGTGTTCCTGTAACCATCTTTCTTTTTTTTTTTTTTTT